ATCGGCAACAGACAAGGCGTGAAAGAGACGCGAAGGCGCTTGACAAGGAAGGTTTCCTCGTCGAGGTAAAATCGGGCTGCTTGGGTGCAAGCGGTCGCTTGGGTAGGTGCTGTTACTGAGCTATTGCATGTCATAGGCGAGATAAGGTCTGAAAGGCGCAGCGGGGAGGAAAGAGAGAGCTAGGTTGTGCGCGTTCTTGACGGAACCGTCGGTGCTGGTGCGATATGCTTTCTTGCCGACCTACTGGACTGCGTTTTCGTTGTGTTGGTGATAGGTGGTAATGCTTTGTGTACAGGTCGTCTCTTTCCGATTGTGCGAGCTTCGCCGACCTACGAAGAGGGAGGAACCAGCTAGCTGCGGTAAGTGTCTGCTTCTTGCTCTGCTATGGTGAGAATCCGGAAGCGGCGTTATTATAGTGGGTAGTTTGTTCGAGCTGGGCTGGCCACACTTGCGCCGTCGTGCTACAGAGTGGTAGCGCTATGCTCGTTACGGTGACCACCGGTTTGCTAAACTAGAATGGTAGGTAGAAAAAGTGAAGTAAGCCCATAGTCGTATTCAAAAAAAATATTTGACGTACGCAATTATAATTTTGTTAGAATTGTTTATGTGCTGTTGTATTTGTGATGTGTGTTAAACTAAATACGGACAAGGGTCGTGTAGACTGCTATCTGGTCTCGTCGCACTCAGGATTCCTTTGAAGTAAGCCAGTATCGACTCACTATACATTACACCATATTATTCGTTTGTGCGACTTTATTGACATTGACTCCATTCTGGTACGACAATCTCTAAAAGTTTGTTGACATTGTAGAAAAAAATCGTTGCGGGTTGAAAAGTTGGGTTTGGCTAGTTGCGCACTGCTGTGTTGGCTGGTATGAAATGTGCAGCGCTTGCTTGGAGCCGAGAAATCCTAAGTTCATTCAGCTGTACGAGTGTTTTCTTCGAAGAATTAAAAGGAAGATCCAAGAACTGGGGAATACTCAAATGGCCCGGAGGTGAGCGTTGTGGGTTAAGTGTCATGGTTATTACCACAACCAAGGCTTGAAGACCGAACCATGCTTACGATAGATGTATGCCGATGGAGTAGCTAAGTTATGAATATCGTTTAGGTTGTATGTCTGACCTTTGCGTCGTGTAGCTCCTTCGAGAGGTGTCATGCCAGCTCCTCTTAGACCCCGCCCCTTGAGCTTACCGCCAACGGTTGTCGATCGAATCTTAACACCATGTGCCTTCAAAACATACATATACAACCTGATTGCGCTCATTATTGGTTCTTTGGTTGCTTTGTCAACATCTTGATCAGAGTTAAGAAACGCTTCCATCTCATCAATGTATTTGATCAATAGTTCTAGAGTCGCTGTCCATCGAATACGCTTGAAAAAGCCTGTGTGAGCTTCACCAGATAGTGGTGGATGTTTCTTAACATCCTTATTCCTTACTCGTAGATTACCGTCAATCGTGCTGAAATGTTATTTTTTGTTTGCCTTTCCAATAGTAAGGGGAAGCAAATGAATTGGGGAGATGCTATCTGATTTGCCAGCTTCGATAAAGTAGTCGCTGATAATTGCCTTTGCCTCAGTCTCTGGGATAGATAGATCCTCCATGACATCTGATCCTGATAGCTTCCCTTTATACCAAATGCCTTGAGTTGGTTTAAATCTGTTAGGATCGCTATCTAAAACAGTGTCTGGTGATGGTTCAAATTCAAAGGTCAATCCCCTCGATTTGACCGTCTCGCTAAACAAAGCTAGAGTTGATTGCCAGGAGATCTCAGACAGTCGAGATTGCTTATTCCTCTTCGTTTCTTGGTTTCTAACGTTGAGATCGCCCTTCGAGTCGGTGATTAGTTCATATTTGTTTAGTACTTCTCCATCTTTTAAAACTGGTCTAATGACAATATTGGAGCCAATCAATTTCTTCTTGTAAGCCTTCAGCATGAATAGGATCTTAGATTTAGCTTGTTTCTCATCGGCTGTAGTCGATGACGAACTATCATGGAACCAAGTTGGACGGATGTGAACCTTCCCCATTCTTTGACTAGGAAATTCATCGCGTCTCTTATTGCCGGTTATATTCTGATATGGAATATTGGCATCCTCCATCCGCATCAAGCTGACTTCGTCAATGCTATTCGACTCACCATCTGATCGGATATTCATCAGATCCTCAGCGGTTAGTACCCAGTCGATATATTTAGATTTAGAAGGCTTGCCCGTTGAAACTCTATAAAGTTCTCCATTTTTACCAATATATCGTTTCATATCGCGAGTTGTATTCGTTTTGATTGGATTGAACCTGAGAGCTATCCAGTTTGGATTAGACTTATAGAGGTTTTGTATCCATCGCTTTGCAATGAATTCTTCAGTTTTACTAGACTTATGTAGTTCTTCCTCCTCAAGGTTTGGTTTTGGTGTTGAGCGGTCGCTCAGACGTGAGGCGGAGCCGTCAGTCTGCGACTGCGACTCCACCTGTGGTCTTTCATCGGGAATCTCAGTATTAACTTCAGGGACTTCTTGGGAGTCTGTAGAAGTCTCACCAGTACTTGATTTAGCTACTGGTTGCTTTTTTAAAAAACCATCTTCAGTCTGATCGCCCGAGTCTTGAGTGGCTCGTTTGGAGACTGAGATGGTGTTATTGACATCTGATGCCCATTGAGCATCTGCGTACATTTCTCGCTTCAGTTCTTCTTGCCTAACACGATGCTTGACGCGATCGAGTAGATCGAGACGTTTTTGCTCACGTTGGGCTAATGAAGTGAAGTTTGGAAACATTTATGATAATACTATATACCAATCTCGAAATTAATTCCTAAATCGTGGTTTATAATCAAGTACTGCAGGCCCGTCTTCTCCTTCTCTCCAATATCGCATCGTATACTTATGTACAGTTTTGTTTCTGCGCTCCTGTAGAGAGATATACGATTGCTGACACTCATCGAAAGGTAGATCGAAAATCTCTTCGAGTTCCTTTTCAAATCTAGCATCATTGCAGATGAATCGATAAGGTCTATTATCGTCGAGTTGATGAAGTCGATATTTGATATAATCGAGTCTATCGATATCAACTATCAATGAATGGTACACGTTGAGTTTCTCGCTGAACGTTCGAACGCGTTGATGCATCTTCCTTAGCTCTTTTGTGAACATTTGAATCTTGTAGTCCTTCTCATGCTCCCAGCAGTATCCAGAAACTAAGGAATCTCGCGAGCATTGTTTACCAGACTTTGTAGTCGCTTGGCAAGTCATTCAGGGGACTGAAGAGACAAGTCTCCGCCTTTTCGACGATACACCGAAGGTGATCAGGCAATCTCCGATTGCACCACTTCGTTCTAATTACGACTTTTGTCTATATTGGTATAGCGATTTAATCATGGATATTGTATACGTTGATTATGATCCGACATGCGACTATATTTTAGATACTCGCGAGTACTCTAAACCATTTAAGATAAGTGAAAAAAAAAATCTAATAGAAGGCCAAAGGCCGCCATTAGCCTGTATAATTTTGAACAGCTACCGAAGCCCCGGCCTGTTATAACGCCTGACTTAAAGTCAATTACTTTGTAGGAAAATCCTTACCCACCGTCGTGAAGTAATTCATTTCTAAGGTACTCATCTTGTTCTTATTAATGAGGCGTAGGTTATCTTGCGGTTCCCAGGAGTCAGGCTCATTTCCAACCCATCTGATTAGGTATTTATAATTCCCGTTCCGCATTTTTTTTGGCATCCAATATCCTCTCCGCCTCGATAATATCTCCTCGATTTATAGTAGCATCCGTCGTTTCAGATTGAGCCACTTTGAGATCATTTGGAGCTTTGTAGAGTGTGTGCCCATTTTTTGATCTGATTTCAACTCGATATCCATCGATACCAACTACAGTGTAGATAGCTTTACTCCATCGAGCAGCTTCTTTATCAAACGGTTGTTTTTTTAAACGATACATAACGTGTGAGCCAACCTCAAACTCGTTCTAGACCTTGTTAGCTTCTTCCTGGTTGTGCGTAAGTTCTGATTCCATTACCTTTCCTATGGCTTCGTTTGGGGTCATACCGATGGATCGATTGAAAGTAGAGTTGTAGTTTTCAATGACATCGCTTATCAGCTTCTGGGAGATACGCTTTGGTGAAATCTTAGTTAGCCTCTGCTTGATGGTCCTATTAAATCGTTCAATTTTTCCCATAGTTCCGTGATCTCCAGGTTCGTTGTTGAAATGGTCGATATGTTTGCTTTTAAGGAACGCTTGAATCTGTGCATTCATAAATTTGCTACCATTATCACTTGTGATGATGTTAACTTTGTAAATCCGAACGAAAGCCGTAACAGATGCTAATACTACCGGCGCGGTCTTGTTTGATAGAAGCTTTGCGTAGCCAACCCGAGAGTTGATGTTGACCGCTGTCAAAATTGGTCTCTTCTCCCAAAATGCGAGGTCTATCTGCCAGGAATTGGGGTTATGCGAAGCAATCTTGAACCCATCGAAACGCTTTTTCTGATCTTGAAATCGTTGTATCTCAGCTTGGCTCTGGTACCAGTCTTTGACTATTCTAAACGTAATTTTATGGTTTAAATCTTTTGCCTTTTGATATAGCGCTTGAGCTCCAATATAACCCGTTTTGGGATCATAGTATAACTTGTGTAATAGATCATCCATGTTTGAGCTATTCCTATATGAGATGTCATAAAAAATATGCTTTCCTCCCAGAAGCATATTGTTTAGATCTCAAGGGGAACAGTGCTGATGCCATCTTCAAGGACACGGCGCTTATCGTAAAAGTATGACAAGGCCGTCTTCGTTTGACTATACGTGATAATTGACTTTGTCTCCTTGCTAAGTCGGAAACCCTTGTTAGTGCCTTGTAGCGTGATACGGTCTCTGACAACAGTCTCGAAACCGTTTGGGTTCAGCACATCTTCATTCCGACCACGTCCCTGCTGAATACCCTTTGCTGAAATCTTGACCTTGTAAGACTCGTCAGG